CATGTAATCAGGAGGGTCCTTTAAAGTAGACGAGGGGCAGAAGAGGAGCTCAGAGTCAGAGCGAGCTTTGAAGATGTTTGAAGATGGAGGGAAAGGCCGTCAGCCAAGGAAGGCAGGGGGCCTCAGAAGCTGGAGAAGGCCAGGAAACAAATTGCCATCTTGAGCTTCAGAAGAAACACAATCCTGCAGATACCTTGATTTTAGTCCAGTGAGATTTATTCTAGATATCTGACCTCCAGAAGATAATAAATTTTTGTTGTTTTAAGCCACTAAGTTTGTGGTAATTTGTTACAACAGCAATAGGAAGCTAATACAACAGGTAATTCAACCTCTCTGTGTAAAAATATAGTACCCACCTCATAGAATTATTGTGAGGATTAAAATATATAGTTACCTCAATAAAAATATATATATTAGAAATACATGTTAGAATCTATATTAGAATATATATATTAGAATCTATACATAGAACAATTTCTGCTTATACTTGTAAGTTCTGAACATGTTCACGATAACATGTCAGAGTTAATACATGATTATTCTGTAGTATGGTGATAAGAGTAGGGTCTCTGGAGTATAACGATCCAAATAGTCAACATTTGCAACATCTGCACTGCTTGCTTTCTTTGTTCGCAGTAAAAAATACTGGTTTCAATTTAAAAAAACAAAAACAAAACTACTACACATGCCTGTACCCAGAATGTTGCTACAGCTTAAGTTTCCAGGAAGTTCTCCCGCAGATTGAGCACCAGGCTCAGACCTCAATCTCCTTATATTCGTGACAGCATCAGGAGAAGGTGATAAAAAGGCCCAACTCTTTTCGTTCCTGGCACATAGGGACAGTCATGAAGGCGACTCCTTCCCTTGTCTCATCACGGTATTAGCTGGCTAGGGCGGCCGTAACAAAGCACCACACACTGGGTGCCTTAAACAACAGGAATTTATTGTCTCATAGTTCTGGAGGCCAGAAGTCCAAAATAAAGGTGTCAGCGGGACTGGTTCTTTCTGAAGACGGAGGGAGGGACCTGTCCCAGGCCTCTCTCTGGCTTGTAGAATGCCATCTTTTCCCTGTGCCTCTTCACCTCATGTTCCCAGTCATATTGGATTAGGGGCCAGTCTCAAACTAGTGTGGCCTCATCTTAATTAATCATACCCACAATGGCCCTCTTTCTAAATAGGGCCACATGCTGAGGTACTGGGGTTGACACTCCAACAAGTCTTTTTGGGGGTGACACAATTCAACCATTAACAATCGGCAAGCAAGCATAGACTGGTGAGGATGGGGATAGTGAGGACGGATCTGGCCCCTTTTCTCTACAGCTTTTGCCAAGCTGTGGATTCCAGCCAGGGCAGCTTCTGAACTGGGTAATGATTGGAAATAGTAAAATGGTATTATTATAGATAACATACACAAGTTACTGGGGCTAGACACTGTTTTAAGTGAGTTAATACGTGTACAGTGCTTAGAATGGGACTAGATAAGTGTTAGCTATCAACTAATTTAATCTTCAAAATAACTAAAGGTGGGTACAATTATTATCTCTCAGGCACAGAGAGGTTAAGTTATTGGCCTCAGGTCCCACAGCTACTAAGTGGTAGAACTAGAATTAGAACCCAGGCAGTATGGCTCCAGAGTCTGACTGTTATCCACCACACTGCAGTAATGTTAGAGATGTTGCAGTGGTAAACAGCATCAAAAGCTGACTGAGTAACAAAGTCTGACGAGGGCTCACTGGATTTAGGAGCAGGAGGTCATGAGTAATCTTGAAGAGAGTAGTTTCAATGACGTGATGAGAGGAACCAGATTGCAGTCATTGAGGTGGGATGGTCAGAAGAATCAAGGAGTGTAGGATTCTTTCAAGAATCTTAGCCACGAAGGGAAGGAGAGGGGGTGATAAGTAGGGGTGGGGGAAAGCACAAGACGATGGGAGTGTTTTAGTAATGGGGAAATTATAGAAATAGTATATGATGAAGGATAATAAACCAATGGAAGGAAAGAGAGGCTGAAAGCACTGGAGGCAGAAGGGACCAGGAAGGTCTAGTTGAAACTGGAGGAATGGATTTTAGTGCCCAGTAAGAGGATTAGCCTTGGACTAGATGATGGACAGATTTGCTTCTGAGACCAGAGGAGGAAATAAGGATGTGTATGGATGTAGATAATATTAGAGAAGGAGAGGGAATCTTGAGAGCCTCAATTTTCTCTATAAAATAGAAAATTAAGTAATCTATAGAGTATAGGCCTTGGGACAAGTCATGAAAGTTTTTTTATTTTTTTGGCGAGGAAGAGTGGCCCTGAGCCAACACCTGTTGCCAATCTTCATCTTTTTGCTTGAGAAAGATTGTCCCTGAGCTAACATCTGTGCCAAGCTTCTTCTACTTTGTATGTGGGATGCGGCCACAGCCTGGCTTGATGAGTGGCATAGGTCCACGCCCAGGACCCAACCTGTGAACTGCAGGCCACTGAAGCAGAGTGCACTGAACTTAGCCACTATGCCACTGGGCTGGCCCCAAAAGTTTATTTTTTTAAATCAAGATTTTTGTATTAGTTGTATGCAATAAAATTCTGAGTAGTTAAGTTTTTGTTTTTTTGTGAGGAAGATTAGCCCTGAGCTAACATCTGTGCCAATCTTCCTCTATTTTATGTGGGATGCTGCCACACCATGGCTTGATGAGTGGCACTAGGTCCACACTCAGGATGTGAACTGGGAAATCCCGGGCAAAAGAGAGCGCACAAACTGAACCACTCAGCCACAGGGCTGGCCCCTCCCATGTAGTCTAAATTAATGTTACACTAATCTATGTCAATAAAAAGTTACTTATGACTTAGTAAATTGGAAAAAAAGCGAGCTGCAGAACGAAACATGAAGTATGGTGCCATTAATATCCAACAAAGCAAAACAAAATACACGTACACACGTGTGTGTATATGTTATATACATGTTATAAATATATAGAAAAGAACTTGGAAGGTTACTATACTAATATTACATTTGAAAAGGCTGGTGGGATTGGAGTGGAGGAATTTTGCTTTATCTGTATTTGGATTTAACAAGAATATATTTGGATACACAACTGATAGGCTATAGAAAACCCCAGGCAGAGGTCTCTCTCTGCTTTTCCCCGCGTAGTTACTTTACTGTTCTCTTGACTGGTGACCTTGGCTCCCCAACCTGCATTTGGTCACCCAGTGCCTCTTCTTTACATATTTCAGCTCTACCTACATAGAAAAGATTAACTCTCAGTCCTGATTCCAAATACCTATGGCAAGGACTCGGATAGTCCAGCTTGGGTCAGGTGCCCATTCTGGCCAATCACCAGGGGGACAGGCAGATAACATGGTACAAAATGACTAGAGGGGATTATTTCCACTTTATCCTTCAAAAAGACGAGGCTCAACTAAGTAACTTCTCCATGGTCACCTAACTTTTAAGGGAAGGGAGGAGCTGAGATTTTGCATGTGTCTGTTGGACCTTAAAGCTCATGCACCATCTATCACATCCTTGGAGATACTTAGTGTGCAACAAACCTAGGTCAGACACATGGTAACTGTTCTTAAGCATCTGAAGAGGAGTTTGACCTAGGCCTGTAAATGTTAGAACTTGGACTATTAAGAGTCAGATTTTCTCTCAGCTGAGGGAGGAGGAAAAGAAAAAAACTCGATGAAACTTCTCCAAACATGGAACAGTTAATCTCAAGTTCTGTTTCACTGAGGTATTTCAAGCTATGCCATATGGCCAAATGAACCACATGGTATGGCTATTATAAAGCTAAGAGTATAAGCCAGCTTGAAGTTTATTTCAAAAACAGCATATTGTGCACTATTCATACAAAAGTGTGGAAAAAAGCAAAGAATTAAGGTAAAAATTAAGGTCAATTTTTAGATAAGTAGATTGATAATTTTTCAAAAGGAAATACACTATTAAGCACACACTTAAGTGTTGAAAACATCAAGTCAAATTGCACTATAATGTATTTCAAAGGCAAGGTTCAAATTTATCTATTGTGGTTAAATTCCATTTATATTTGTTGAAATAAATGTCACTGAAACATAGTAATGCAGATATTTTTATTGTATACATATTAAGTACACAATTTAAAAAGAAAAAACCTACTCTCTAGAAGATGAGAAGAAAATAAATAGAACAAAGGTGCTATTATACACATGGAATGAATGAATATAAAAGAAACCAGGTATGTGATTTTCAATCATATTCATATTACACAGTTTTAAAACTATCTAATCCTTTACAATGACCAATGAAACTGCAAAGTTGGTAAAGGATGTATGCCATTTAAGTTCAGAGACTCATACAATTTTATTGGTGGTATTCATGTGTAGCGAGAACTGTCTACTGCATGTAACTATCATGTTTCAGGAGACATGATTTAACAGTGAAGTTTTTATATTATAAGGAAGCAAGTTTAAGTGTTGGTTATTTTAGAAATACTACTTAAACTAGAATGATATTTATTAAATATTATATATTCTAACTCCATTCTAATAGTCTATAAACTATATCAAATGAAGCAACAGAAGTTAAAATTTTAACATTTTAGATTAGTCAAGTTACAAAAGGAACTAAAGAAAGGAACTCAAATTTAAAGTCTCGAATATCCACTAAGTTTGGCATCTTTTCTTTCTTACCACAAAGTATCTTTTCTTAGAAGTGGGGTATTTAGTTAACTATCCTTCTTGGTGACCTCAGCTACTACCAAAAAGAAAGAGGCCAAGAGACCACAGATGCAGGCTCACTAGCATTGACGGAAAGTGAGAGTGTCACCTAAGAACCACAGGCAGCCCAAGGGACAACAGACCACAGCAGTCCGGGTAACAAGAATTAGGCGAAAAAGCAAGCAAAATTTTCTACATATTAATATTTGAAGGAAGTCACTACACATTACAATTGTTGACTTGCATACTGAGCCAGAATCAAGGAAAGGCAAAAAAGTCAGTATTCCGTCTACAGGCAGGGATGTATATCATAAATCTTAAAAACAAGGCCATGCAAAAATATAAATTTTATTTAGAATTCCTCATTTTCTGATGATGTGGCATTAGTGTACTTATATTTAATGAGTTATAATTTTTCTGTCATTTAGAACTACTAAAAGTAAAGTGAATAAGCTAATATTATGATGAAACCTGTTTATATTTAAGAAACATAGTAAACTAGTTGACAAAATTTACCTGTCTTAGAGAAGAACTCAGTTTGTTGAGACTGACAAGGCAGTCAAGAAAGCTTTCTGATGCCTAGAAGGCAACACCTGCTATAATGTGAATGTTAGTAAAGAGCTCACTGCCACGAATACTTAAGATACTTGACCAGCTCCTCACCTAAGAGACATACAAAGCCACAACAAACAAAATACCGCAGGTATAACCACCACCTCATTCCTTCTTGTAGCTTTATTTCTCTTCTGTTATTTCGGACTCTGAGTACATCCGGCACAGTGCTGCGTTAGGGCGGCATACAAAAGCATCAGTTTCACTTCCCAACTCTGTTAACTGTTCCAACGAAGACACACACGGATAATGGTCCTTTAACATATCTGGCAATTTAGAAGTCTTCTCTTGAAGACGGCGAGAACGTCTAACTGGTGTTAGAAACTTCAGCTCTTTAAATGTAGAATTTGTTTCATCAAACTGTATCTTCTTTTTTACACTAAAAAATTATTTCCAGAGTTAAAAAACATGTTAACATCTTTACTTTGTACTTTTATGCTATTTCTCAAACTATAACTTGTAGGTTACAACCACATGATTGCTTGTCTTAGATTGCAAGCTCCTTGAAGTCAGGAACTTACTCTTTTTTCTATTTGTTGTCACAACTTGTACACAATTTTTGAATATCTGTAGAATTGGCTAATTGCTCAATTCTCAAAGCTACTGTTATCATTAATACACAATCAGAGATTAAAGTAAAATTACTGACATAAAAAAATTTTCCCCCAAAATGGCAATATTTAGGGAAAACCAAAGCAAATACAGGTTTTAAAAGGTGAAATGTCCCCATGACATTCAATTTGTTTGAAACCTTTCTATTAACAAATGTTAGTTCTAATTGGAAGCTATCTTAAAGATTTTACAATATTATGTTTATTATCCCTAAGCATAAAAACAAATCACAACACAGTATACTTTAAAAGTTTACCTTTGCAAGTATGGTGTAGTAGACACGTTGTATTTAATCAAGCAACCCGCCCTTGTTTCTGTACTGGGGGTTTTAACATCATTGGTTGCATCTTTTGTCTTGTCACCTTGCTCTTTTTCACAATCTTGAAATACCACACTTCTATGATGTTTATTTTCCATTTCCAGTCTCCCTGACTCTAGGCTAACATCTATATCTTCAACGTTGACTTCCTGGGTTTGGTCCTTGGTTGCGCAAGCCTCCTCAATATGTTCTCCTACAGGAATACATTGACAGATTAAGCTTTTGGTCAAATTTAAAGGACAAAATTAGACATTCAAGTTATTCAGATGTGGCCAGATTTTCAAAATAAAAGAACCAAACTGCCACTTCCTAACCACTACTTTTCCTCAGCAATTGCTGACAACTATTCAACAAACATTTACTACCTCCTATGTCTCAGGGATTATAGATACAAATATAAGAATGAAATCCTCCCTGTCCTTTAAGAAGTTCATATTCCACTGAGAAGACATTCCTGAAAATAATTAATTCTAAAATGAGAAAAATGCTATTATTGAGGTAAGAACAAAGGATATGGGAACCCACAAAAAGGACTAACTAACTGTGCTTATGGCACAGGGAGACGGCTAGGGAAGGCTTCACAGTTAGGCTGGGTCTTGAAAAATGAGTACTTGACAAGACCAAGGAAGGCAATCTTGGTGTGAAGCTTAAAACAACATGATCTATTAAGACAACATTAAAAGGCCCGTGTGTTTAGAATATAGGGTAAGGAGTAAAGTGGGAATGTGGAGAGGTGATGAGCTCACACAGGTAGGAAGGGGATGAACCATAATGAACCCTATATGCAAGAAGTTTGGTAAAAAAAAAAAAAAAAATTCACTGGCGAGACAGAGATACAATTAGGTTTGCTTATTATAAAGGAAGTTTTAGCATGGCAGGGAATAAAAAGTAATGATCTGTGATGGTAAGAAGACAAAGCTGTGTAACAGTCTAAGCAAAGTGGCAGAGGCAGGCGGTGAGAAGGAAGGGCCCGATATTTAAGAGGTATTTCCGAGTTGGGCCTTACCAAACGAATGATGCATGCATATGTCTGAATGAGTGTGCAGGTGTATTAGGGGCATCCCTTCTAAAATGTCTTGCTGAGGAGGCTTTAATGACAGAGGAGGCTATTTTTTCATTTTCTTTTTTGGGAGGAAGAGATGGTGGTATGGGAAAGTGATGAGGGAAGACTAACAGTTCAAAATAAAACATGTTAGATGTGAAATACTTGTGAGAGATCCTAGTAAATCCACTGAGCTGAAAAGACCTCTAGCTTTATTAGGAAATTATTAGATCTTTACTTAATGATGTTTCAGTTACACGATAAAGTGAATGAGACTTTTTAGTGAGGGGAAGTTGAAGTGGGGAGAGAGGAAATACAGATTCATTAATTCAACAAATACTTAAGTGCCTAATATATGCCAGGCATTGCATTAGTACTGGGGATACAATGGTGAGGAAGAGCTGACAGTCCTTGTCCACCGAGCTTGTAATTTAAGACACCAAGCAATCAAGTGCATCAAGTATTGCAGAGAGAAAAAACAGGGAGCACAAAACAGTGCATCTCATCTAGCTGGGTGAGGAGGCAAGGCGGATGGCAGGGAAGGCCACCCCAAGGAAGTGACATCAGAATTGACGTCTAAAGTATAAGTAGGAATTAGGTTAAAAGTGGAAGACTGGCTTGGAAAGACCCACGGGCAAGACAGATCGTATGGCCCCTTCTAAGAAATAAAAGTAAAGAAAGAAATTCAGGGATGTGGAGGAGAGGGAGAGTGACAAGAGGCTGGGGTCAGGAATTTAAGCAGATGAGTGACAGGGCATTTTGGTTGCAGTGTTGAGGATGGACTGGAGCAGGCATAGAGAAGCAGGAAACTAAGTTAGGAGGCTATTGCTGTAGTTCAGGTAAGAGCTGTGGGTGGTACTGACTATAGTAATGAGAGTAAGGATGGGGAGAAGCAGGTGGATTTTAAGAGATGCTTTGGAAGTTAAACTGAGTTTGACTGGCTGGGGAACATGGGTGGGGAGGTCAGAAAAAGAGGAAGTGAAACAGACCCCAAGATTTCTGGCGTGAAGAACAGAACAGTGTCAGCCATTGAGATAGAGAACCAAAAGGATAAGGTTCAGGGATAAATGACGTGCTCAAGTTTGGACATGTGGGATTGAGGTATCTGAGACACCCAAGTGGTGCTTGTCTCTTATTATTTGTCTTATATTTCCCAATGATGTTTTCTTCCTGTTAACAATTTTAATTTATAAAATTGATTTCATATCTAGAACTTATAAACATATATTTTAGAAAGCCAAGAGTTTATGAATAGCATTTTTTTTTTTTTTTGAGGAAGATTAGCCCTGAGCTAACTGCTGCCAATCCTCCTCTTTTTGCTGAGGAAGACTGGCCCTGAGCTAACATCAGTGCCCATTTTCCTCTACTTTATATGTGGTATGCCTACCACAGCATGGCTTGCCAAGCAGTGCCACGTCTGCACCTAGGATCTGAACTGGGGAGCCCCGGGCTGCCGAAGCAGAATGTGCGAACTCAACTGCTGTGCCACTGGTCTGGCCCCTCTTTTTCCATCTAAAGACAAATTATTCTACCTGCTAGAAAAGATTCCACTAACTAGTATCATTCTATTAAGGAAAAATAAGATAGAATAACAATCATTTAAATACAGTCATGCATCACTTCATGACGGGGATATGCTCTGAGAAATACAATATTAGGCGATTTCATTGTTGTGCAATCATCATAGAGTGTTCTTACACAAACTCAGATGGTACAGCCCACTACACAACTAGGCTATGTGGGACCACCATCATATATGTGGTCCGTTGTTGACTGAAACATCATTATTCGGCATACAACTGTACTGATTTTCTCTTTCCACATTATCTCTAGATATATCTCTCTAGAGCCAGTCAGAATTATGAGGAAGAAGGCTCTTTTTATGAATTCTTATTTCCACTTTGCTGTGCTAAAGACGCAGGATTGGGGTTCTTTTTTAAAAAATATTTTTAAAATTGAGGTATAACTGACACATAACGTTAGTTTCGGGTGTACAACATAATCTTTTGATATTTGTATATATTGAGAGATGATCACCACAATAAGTCTAGTTAACATATGTCCCCATACATAGGTATGAAAAAAAATTTTTTTTCTTGTGATGACGACTTCTAAGGTTTACTCTCTTAGCAACTTTCAAATATGCAATACAGTATTACTAACTATAGTCACTATGCCATACTTCACGTCCCCATGCCTTATTTCTTTTATAATGGAAGTGTGTACCTTTAGATCCCCTTCACCCATTTTCCTGGCTTGGGTTATTCTTAACCTTTCCTCCTCCTTTTTGTTTGTAGCATACTAGTCTTTCCTGGTTCTTCCTCCTGTCTCCCTGACCATTCCTTCTCAAGCTCCTTCATTAAATACAACTAGTAAGATTAGATCAAATAGATCTTCTCTATGTTCCCCTGGGGCATATTAATAGCAACCATAACCTGAAACATTCTGTTGAACTAAACATACTGCCAACAGAACCATGACCCCCTTGCACATAGATAAGTCATTAGTATATTAGCCCCAGTGAACAGTTTTTGTTTGTAACGTGTAACCAAACTTAACACACTTAGAATTTTAGTGTGATCTTTGATTTTATTTAATGTTTTAGCCCTTGACCTAGATCTCTACATTTTAAATTCATTTTGTGTACTTAAGTAAAATAAGGATACTTGCAACTACTCTGGAAGGCAGTTTGGCAGCATATTTCATCAGCCTTAAAAAGTTCACACAGTTTGACTCTTGTTAGAATTAATCAAAAGAAAATAAGCAGATACAAGCAAAGATGGTGTATAATAGGTACTCAAATACTTGTGATTGGGTGATATAAAGAGTTACAGTAAAAAATTGGAAATAACTCTAAACAAGGAAACAATTAGCTTACACTTATAAGTAGTGATTTCTCCTCTCCTCTAATCTAATTAATACTAATAATGGCTAAAGTTAATGAAATATGTGCCAGAGTATGTGACACTAATATACATTATTTCATTCAATGGTCCCAACAGTCTTGAGGAAGATATTAATTAACATTATCCCATTTTACAGATGAGGAAGGGGTTAAATTTCTTGCAAAAGGTCACAGAAATTGGCACAACTTACATCCGAATCTAGAAAATGTTTACATTTTATATACCCGATAGCTAATGAATCTCTAATCTCTTCTGTACCTACTATCCCTAGCAAAGAGAATTCCCGAATAAGCTTCTCTAGAGCATAGAACAAATGATAGAATTTAACAGGTAGAAAGTCTTTAGAGATTATCTAGTCAAACTGCTTCATTTTTAAGACAGGAAATTAAGGCCTAGAGAGGTAACTTTCACAGATACTCCAAGACAAATTTGGGTTTTGAACCAGACCTCCTAATTAAAAATTCTTTATACTACACAAAGCTACTGAATCTCGGAGGTACATCAATAGAAGAATATGGAAAGAAACAACCTATATATTTTAAAAGTCAAAAAATAATTCAGCAAAGAAATTTAATAAAATCACAATTCACTTGAAGGAAACAAACTAACTTACCAAATTTAAAGTTTTCTTGACTCTTCATTGTTAGAATATCTGCAATTGCATGTCGCATTTCTTCTATGGGCTTAATTTTTTTAAATGAAGAAAGCAGACCCATGTAAGTTTTATATTCTCAGACATTAACTACGTTGTCCAAGTTGAAAATATTAAAGCCAGTGATTAAATTTCATATTTTAATACAAGGCAATGGTTCTTAGACCATGTTTCTCAGAACACTTATTTTGCCACCCAAATTGAAAAAATGGCTATCGTTTCCAATTTACAGAATAAAATTGAACTTAAGGGACAGAATTTCTCAGTTTAAAATTTTTCTCCATTATATTTCTTAAGTCTTTGGTAACTATTACTGCTTGCTTGATATAAACAAAATTAATGAACAAGTAGCAAATTAACATTATTAATATCTATTCAAGAGCCAATCATATTAAGTTTACCATAAATTTATATTAAGTTTACTCCCTTTCTCCTACATTCAAGTCCATGGTTATACTTTGGTTTCACATGCTAATAAATCCATTTCTGAACAGCTCAAGCTTGATTGGCTTAACATATTTCATTCACTCAAAAGCTCACCAGTTCACTGTGTCCATCACATGCCACATATCAGAAGCACTTACCACATTCCTTTAAACTACCATGCCTGCTAATGCAACACAGTCAAGATATTATACAAAAGGGAAGCTCTGGCTCATAGTCTTAGTTCTAGAACTTAGTCCTGAACTAATGTCTTCCATTTTCTTGGCTAATTTTGATGCCTGTTTCCCAATTTTTGCTCTAGTGTCACATCTTTCTCTTTGCACTACTGCTTTCTGTGTGAACCCGTGGCTCCAGTTATATATCCTGGCTACGCGGCCAGAAGCCACCTTAAGTAACGCCTCTTAAGTTCAACGCAGTAGGGACCTAAAACTACCTTCCAGGTGTGGTTCTGTCAAGTACAATTAGCCTCCAGCACAGTGTTTTACACATAATAGCCTTTGAGAAAATATCTGCAGAATATTTGATTTTTGATTCAGGTGAAAAGCCAAATAGTATTTTTTGGCTTTGCTGAGAATAAAGTAAACAGATATTTCTTAAGGAAAGGCTAAAAAGGAAGAATTTTTTAAAACTCACTTTGTAAAGAACCTCCAAGAATATGTTTTTGAGAAACCTGGTCAAAGGGAAATACATTTTAGCAATATTTGCCCATAAAAATCAACCAAACCAAAAAAACCTCAAGATACAATTAATTTAAAGCCAGGACTTTTTGTAGTAACAGACTAGGAAGAGGTGCAAGGTATGGTATTAAGCCACTACGGTGGTAAGAATGTCAGAGAAACTGGTTTATTGCTATTTTCTTTATGTAGGCAGGACCAAACATAGGGCATTTAAATGTGAGTACATTAAGATCCACTCCTAAAGTCAAAGAGAGTTGTCTCACAAAGCAGTCAGAGCTTGCTAACATTTGAAAGTTAATTCAACTTCGTTTGCTTTATATTCAATAAATACATTTTAACATTAAAAATTCAGTTTTCCAGGGGCTGGCCCCATGGCTCAGTGGTTAAGTTCGCACGCTCTGCTGCAGGCGGCCCAGTGTTTCGTTGGTTAGAATCCTGGGCGCGGACATGGCACTGCTCATCAAACCACGCTGAGGCAGCGTCCCACATGCCACAACTAGAAGGACCCACAACCAAGAATATACAACTATGTACTGGAGGGGCTTTGGGGAGAAAAACGAAAAAATAAAATCTTTAAAAAAAAAAAAAAATTCCGTTTCCCAGGGCCAGCCCGGTGGCACAGCGGTTAAGTTCACACACTCCGCTTCTCAGCAGCCCAGGGTTCGCTCGTTCGGATCCCGGGTGCGGACATGGCACCGCTTGGCAAAAGCCATGCTGTGGTAGGCGTCCCACATACAAAGTAGAGGAAGATGGGCATGGATGTTAGCTCAGGGCCAGTCTTCCTCAGCAAAAAGAGGAGGATTGGCAGTAGTTAGCTCAGGGCTAATCTTCCTCAAAAAACAAAAAATTCAGTTTCCCAGTAGATTTCTCAACTAGAAAATGTGCAAAACGAAGTTTTGCTAAAATATTTCTCACAACAGGTTTCATTAAATGTATATTTCAGTTTATCTATTTTCTAAGATTTGATTATTCCTGGGACATGAGCAAGTTTTAGGAGGTTGAGAAACAGCTTTTATAATATGCAGTCCCTGTGGCCTTTAAACCTTCATTATGACTACATATATAACTACAATTTTATCAAGTATACAGAATCATTTACACTGTAATAACAGAAATCAGTAAGTTTTAATCTCACCTGAGCTCCTGCCAGAATGGCCTCCTCATAGATTGCGATAATATTTTCAATAGGACTCGTGAGTGGTTCAATACGTGCAAGGCATATCCAATATTTAACAAGTTTTTTGGCATCTGGAATATTTTTAATCAAGTCATTCAGGGTGACCAATATTTCTTCTTTTGGGCATCCCTAAAATAGCAAGAAATAAAGTGAGTGATATCTTTTAGCCTAAAGACTACAAACAAGTAAGCTTACTATAATCAAGATCAATGATAGAGAAAAAGTTGATAGAAAATTATTCATAAAAATATTCACTAATATCCTCATTACTCCAAACTTATTCTGAATGCTTAGCAAGAAGCATTATCCATCATGAATACAAGGCAGAAAAAAAATGAAATACTAGTTGAGATAAATATTAGTAAACAATGACTAACACTCTACTTGGTCTGTTATTTATCCTTATATATTGTGGAATTCCATTTGTTAATACTTTATTTAGAATTTTTGCATCTACCAAATATTTATGAGTGAGAATAGCTTGCAGGGGTTTTTAAAAATTGTCTTTGTCAGGTTTTGATATAGAGTAAAATGAATCTATAAGGGTTTATGTGAATAAGAGCTATACACAGTTAAACAGTAGTGCAGAAAAATCCCACAGTATCAACAAAAAACTCTAGCAGAGCAGAAATAAGAATAGAATGAGAGTTTCCCTGATTGTAATTTTCACTGGACCTCAGAACCACAAAAATTTAAAGATGCTCATGAAGACTAGGATAAGGTTTGAAATCATAGTCCATATTTTCTGTCTTGCTATGGATCTTAGACACTAGTGGGTAACCAAAGCAAGATCAAAGAGTAGTCAGAAAATAAAGGAAACATTTTGGAGTTGATCATTATACTCCATAGGATTTTGGTCCAAATAGTAAAATCCTATAAGTTCAACACCATAATGATGTTGGCTTAATGAAATTGTTTGCAAATAATTAACGTGAATGTAAGAAACAGAAGTACCAAAGTAAATTTCCACCCCCAGCCCACTGTATATATTAATATCTTAAAGGAATACAATATTTATAACTCAAGTAAAAAAAATCTAATTATTCCTTTAATATATTTATAGGAACTCAGTGAAAATGCAGTCCCTTAAAGGCTAAAGAGAAACAACCTCACAATTAACATTAAGTCTACATAACACCGCTGATACATAACTTGGTCGAAAAAGACAATGTAATTTAATGAGAAGTTTACGAAGGTACTTTGCAAACTAGAAATAACTCCACAAACGTAAGATAAAGACTCTACCTCATTAATCAGGTTTAGGCATTCAGAAAACGTCTTGTTTACTTTTTCAGTAAATAACCGTTGTTCATCTTCTTCTGCCATGGTTGTCCAAAAGGACCCAACAGGCCTTTCACTTTGGTCTTTGGGCTCAGGCTGGGTAACTACTGAGTTGGGAGGTCTTTTCAGCACTTTTCCTTTGCTAGCTTTCCACTCATTCAGACGAGCTCTACAGTTAGAATTAGGATATAAACATTACTGTGATATTGATTATAGAATTCTGTCAAATAGAGAAAAAGTTAAAAATTCAGGTCTTTACGTAGCTCCACAGTAGTGGCAGATACATAGTTCATAAGTTTAAAGGAAAAGAAATATTGAATATATCAATGCTAGTTATATACTCAAAGACCCCCAAAATGCATTCTTAAATAGAGAGATTATAAAATATTTTCCATTTTTATTAAGCATTTTAACTTAGATTATATAAAACCTAATAAAAACACACCCAAGCACAATAACTTAAGTCACAGTGTTCCACAATATAAATTTGCTTAAATTTGTTTGCATATGACAGAAGAGAATCCACACACAAAATCTGAATATATTCAACAAAATTATAAGCCAAATCCACAAATGGTACTCTACTGAAAATTAAGTAAATAAAATTACATCTACTTACTTTCTCTCTTCTGCAGTTTCTTTGGGCTGAGCCAATCTACTATCAATAGCTGCTTTTGCTATAGTATGTCTGCGCTGGTCAGTGGTTTTTGACTTTTCTATCATCTTGGTATTGGAAGCAGGCCTGACTACAATTTCAGATGTCATGCTTCTTGACAGTGTCTTACTTCTTTTTACATCCTGAGAAGAACTGGTTTTGACACTGGATAAAACTGAATTTACTTTTAATAATTCTTTCTCATGAGGCCCTTTCCGAAAGGTAACATTGGCAGAGCTTCTGCTGATGCCTTGCCTCACGGTGTTTTGGGTATTATCATGGTGACTTCTAATAGGAGGTCGCAGAAGTTGTCTGTTCCGAGATGTAGTGCTCACAAACTTAGTAGTCATCATCACAGATGAGGCTCTGCCAGTATCCACTGGGACACTGCTGGTGTTGACAGGCTGAGGCTTAGTGGCTTTAGAGACAGTAGTTGCAAGTTCCTTTGTTGTTGCAGAACTCTCACCTTTGACTTGTAGAGGTTTTCTAAATGAATTAATCTTAGACTGAACAATTTGGCCACGATAAGATCCAAGCACATGTTTCTTGGGCATGTTAGCATCTTGCTTTGGTCTTTCCGTAGTCATTTGTTTCTTTTTACTATTGTTTTTGAAGTGAAATGCTTGGCTTAATGTCATATGTTGATTTTGGGTATCATCTTTAATTGGTAACAACTGCAGAGTTTGATTATGATCCTCAAAATTATGTGTATCAGTTGCTAAAGTTGAATGGGTTAATTCATTAGAAGGTTTTAAAGGAATACAATTTTTTCCCATTGTCAAATTATTTTTGCTTCCTGTAGGTCTACTGACATTTTCTTTATTAGCCTAAAAGAATTAATGAAGACAAATCAGTATTTCAGGACTTATTTCTTTCAGAGTTTAGGAAAGGGAAATGGGGGAAAGGGACATTTTATGAGGGCTATGCCCACGTCCTACCATTTTTGTTTTCAGTTTCAGTGCTTTTGTCTCTTCTCGGATCTGGTCCTCAGATGTCATCACTTTCTGGTCCCTACTACTTAAAAAAAAAAAAAAAAAAAAATTAACCCTGTACCAAGGAGGTTTCCTTTTTGGGAGAAGGAATGGAAGGATATTAATAATTACCTGACTATGTAATTTTAAATTGAGGCAAGAACTATGCTGAGATTTATTTGTCCTAAGCAAAACTTTTCTTTATCATAGGCTGATTTAATAGTGTAAACAAGATGGCTGAGGAATTTAAAGATATTTTCTTAAAAGTCTTAACACCCTCTCCCCACAGAATATGTAAACACTGAATAATCTAATTCCAAATCATTCTTTTCCAGTCATTCAAACAAGTCTTCACAAATCTTTATTAAGCAACATTTTCTTTGGTTACTTTTAAGTACTTAGTAACAGACTCACGCTGAAAAAAATGTAAAAATAGCCCTTCCAAAAAAAACAAAATCCAGGACTGGCCCAGTGGCATAGTGGTTAAGTCTGTGTGCTCTGCTTTGGTGGCCTGGGGTTCACAGTTTTCGATCCTGTGTGGACCTAGCACTGCTCATCAGGCCACGTTGTGGTGGCATCCCACATAAAATAGAGGAAGATTGGCACAGATGTTAGCTCAGGGCTAATCTTCCACACCAAAAAAACCCACAAAAAAACACAAAACTGCCCTTAGAAGGGTTATCTGAACAAAGGAGACTTAAAATACTCACATTGGACATTGTAAAATACAAACATTTAGTTTTGAGCAGCTGCAACTCTGATTGGTTGTCTATTTAATAATTTGTTGCTCAAGTAATATTTAAATTGACATTTGTTTCTGAAAGGAGTAAACAGAGTACTTGTGAGGTTTCTTGGTAAAGCCAGAGAAGAGTGTAAAATTTTTTCTTCCCACTGTGTATAAGAATATTATAAACCCCATGACCCACTTGGATTCCTCATTTAAATATGTAGTTAAGAGTCACTGTCTCATCTGAATTAAATTTTTCTTTGCTTACTCTCTAGTAATCTCATTCCATTCCAAGGTTTTAAAAAAATATCATCTACACACTGACAATTCCCAAGTTTATACCTCCAGTCTCAATCTCACCCCTGACCTTTAGACACATAACTATTTGGCATCTCCACTTGGATGTCTTACTGGTAACTCAGACATAACATGGTCAAAAGAGAACTCCTGATTCCCCTACTCCTCTCTCAGTCCTCCCCATCTCAATATACAGTATCACTATGCACTCAGTTATTCAAATCAAAAGTCGAGGATCATCTTTTTGTCTTAAACAAAGAAATATGGGATTTGTGAAAGAAAATGCTTATTCTAAAATAAACCAACTTATTACTGTAAAGTTAAAAATAAAAAAATTTGGAAATAATGCCAAACTTATAAAAAGTTACAAAATTGTAAGTAGTTCGAAGAATATCCATATACTCTTTCTCCAGATTTGCCTACTGATAATGTTTATCCCATTTGTTATCATTTGCACTCTTTCTGAACATATGTGTGTGGAGTACATACAATTTTTTACCTGAACCTTTCAAGATAAGTTATATACATGATGGCCTTTTACCCCTAAATACTTCAGTGTTATTTCCCAAAAACAGGGATTTTCTCTTACGTAACCACAGTACAGTTATCAAATTCATAAATTTACCTTGATACATCACCTTAGTCTACTGTCCATATTCTATTCAGAAAACTGACCTTTACAGCACTTCCCCTTCCACTTTAGGGCAGAGTGTAAGGGTCAGAATTGAATTTAGTTGTCATATCTCTTTAGGCTCCTTTAATCTGGAATATTCAGGATCATCTTTAACTCCATTCCTTCTTTTACATGCCATACCTAATCCATCACCAAGTCCTATCAGCACTCTCTCTTAAATAAAAGTAGAATTTGACCACTTTCTACCATGACGAAGGGTAGGAAGCATTCAGAAAGACAAAATACATCAGTAAGTAAAGTACCTAACATAAAGAAATGCAAATTAAAATGAGACCATGCAGATGGCAATGATGTTTGGAGGAAATCAGGGAAACCAGGAGAATAAAGTATTTAAAGAACCCATCCACTGGATGGAACGCCACTCAGAGATCATGATATGATAGCTACCACTTGTTGGGCCCTCACTATGTACCAGGCATAGCACAAGACATTCAGCATTTCATTTAACGCCCAAGGAACACATATTACTATCTCATTTTAATATAAGTAGACAGACTCAGAGAGGTCATGTAACTCCCCTGAGGTTCCACAGTTGTAGTGGCAGACTTACAGATTCCAGCCCCAGTCCTTATCACTCTAAAACACATGCTCTTCGATTGCAGACAAAAAGCCTGGAAGGATGCTCCTAGCACTTACCTCTAGAAAGCGCGGGGACTTTTCATTTTTTGCTTTATACACTTTCGTGGATTGTTTTTCTTTAGCCACAACCACATACAATTTTTTTTTTTTTTTTTAGATTTTTTTTTTCCTTTTTCTCCCCAAAGCCCCCTGGTACATAGCTGTGTATTCTTCGTTGTGGGTTCTTCTAGTTGTGGCATGTGGGACGCTGCCTCAGCGTGGTCTGATGAGCAGTGCCATGTCCGCGCCCAGGATTCGAACTAACGAAACACTGGGCTGTCTGCAGCGGAGCGCGCGAACTTAACCACTCGGCCACGGGGCCAGCCCCAACCACATACTATTTTTTAACTTTTAACAAAATAATACAAAAATATTCCTATGGAGGGTTGAGACTAAAACAAGTATCTCCAAACATTTGGGAGGGCTACATCCCAAAAAACAAGCCCCCCCCTCCAAGCGAGTAAAAACCTTGCCAAATTATAAAAAGACTGACCTCCGTAGCACTGCATAGACCGTAAGTCAATATTTTGGTATATACACACACTTAGCTTTAAAATTAACTATTTCCTCGTAGAGTGTGAAGTAATTCACACAAGAAACAATGACCTAATGCTGTGCCATCCAATAAGGCAGCCACTAGCCCATGAGGCTATTGAGCACTTGAAATGTAGCTAGTCTCAGCTGAGACGTTCTGATAGTATAAAATACACAACAGACATTGAAAACTTACTAGCCCCCCAATGCAAAATATCTCAGTAATAGTTTTTAAGTATTACATGTTGAAATTGTAACACAGGATATACTGGATTAAATAAAATGTTATTAAAATTCATTTCATCTGTTAAAAAAGTTTTCTAAATGTGGCTACCAGAAAATTTTAAGTTACACATGTGGCTCATATTACATTTTTATTAGACGGCTCTGATATAATTTTACAGATCTGAAATGAAAAAATCTGACCTCACCTGGATAATATCCGATTTTCCTGTTTGGATGCAAAAAAAGATTTTCTTTTTAAGAGTTGTTCCTTGAGTTTTTGTCTTCTTTGCTCTAAACAACAAAAGAGCTACAAGTCAACAGTAGTTACAACAATAACATCAAATAAATACTGACTAAATGAAGACTTTAGCTGGAAAAATGTTCTACTTGAGATCACATCTTGTACATAACGGAAAATTTCCCAATTCAGTATTGCCTGAGAAATAATCCCATTTTTACGAGACTGTTACCATAAAAGGTCCTCACAACTACTTTGCACAAGAATCATAGTCTCTACCGTGAAAAATCTGGAGAACATCATTTTCGATATACAACCGTAACTGCAAGCCAAGCTTTAAAAAACTAAATGGTAGAGATGAGGCACCGGACTCCAAGTTCTAATTTACCAGAATTGGGTTGGGTGAGAATTTCCTTCTTCTGTTTCCCACGTGTAGGGTAAAGAAATAACAATATTATTTCCAAAGAGGTAGCCAGCCCTAGATCTCCATAAAGTCAAAGGCAAAGAAGTTAAGCTTGAAGACGAGGCAACCCCACCCCTCCAGAAACCCCCTCCAGAAACCCTCTCCCGATTTAGCAGACCCGAGCACTCTGCGCAGGCGCAGTCGGCTCTCGGAGCGGACGCGGCCCCGCCCCCGCGAGCCCCGCGCCCCCAACGCCGGTCCCAGGCTGAGCCCCGCACACGTCTCCTGGCCTGGATCAACGGATTCCTCCAGGGCAGGCCCTTCGCCGGGGCCAGTGGGCAACGCCCGGCCAGGAGCGACCGCACGCTAGGCGCTCAACCCGCACGCCAGCACCACGGACCAGGCACCGCTCTGTCCATTTCACAAATGCCAAACGTGCGGCTGCGAGAGGCCGAGCGCCGCGTTCATGCTGCTCACACAACCGGTCAGGGCTGAGGCTGGTCTGCGCACCCATGGCCCTGACCGCTGAGCCCGAGCCATGTCCCCCACGCGCCCCCCGCCCTCAGGCCAACAACCTGCTCGCCGGCTCGCGCGCTCCCGCCACCGCGGCCTCACCTCTGAACGCGGACTGGGCCCTCTGACTCGGGGGCAGCTGCAGGTCGCAGGGCACGGCTGGGGTGCTCATCGCAGCTCGGGGCGCCGGGACACGGCTGCGTTTTGAGCGCCTCGACTCCCTCCACCTGAGGCCGCCGCTCGCTGCGCACGCCTCCCGCAGCTCCCTCAGACTGCGCGGCCGCCGCCTCCGCCCATTGGTGCTCAGCGTGAATTGAATGGGCCAATGACGGCAGGGGGGCGGAGCCTGGGCTGCGGTTGCCCGGGCGGGTCTTGCGTCTGCCTGGTTGGGTTAGGACGCTCTGGGCCGAGTGCCTAGGTTTTCAAACCTAAACACTCTCTCGGTCCTGGACAGGCAACGTGGGAGGAGTCGGCCAGCAGAGTCCCTGCTGTTGGAGCAGATAGGACTAGTCTCCAGACGCTCACAGTGCAGCGAGGAAGGCAGACGAGAGAAGTGTTGTTTGGCTGCGCTTCTTATTAAACATGGGCGTGTTCACTGACGAGGAGGAGGATATAAGCACTGATTACTGAGAGCACGTGTATTTCCCTTTCACAAATATTTCTTCATTGCCGCATCACAGCTCTTAAGTGAGGCGTTATCATCTCCTGATTCACAGACCAAGTGACAGGCTCGGAAGGTATTTGTCAACGTTTGCACGGCTTGCAAATGGAAAGTGAGATTAGGGTCTGTTTTCTTTTGTACTACACAATTATCAGATGCAAAAAAGAGGAGAGGAAGAGAACGGGATAAAACGAGGCTAGAACCTTCCCTTATAATCCTCCTGTGAAGATAAAACAGCGTTTGTTGTGGACATTTTGTGTTTGTGTGCTGCCATAATCTTCTGGTCTTCATGTAAAAATACCACCTTAATAAAACCCTAGCAAACACCGAATCTACAAGACAAAACGAAATAGTTCAGAGCTAGAAGGTTTTGAGGGTGGCAGTGGGGAAAGCTAGGGAGAGTTCTGGGCGGTGCCTGTCTGGTTTTGAGCGCTGGGTTCCCAGCGTTTCTCCGCCTTGCCTGGTCTCTGCAGTAAGGCTGGGCTGGACTGTTTCAGCCAGGTGTTAAGCATGGAGACAGAGAAAGGAGGATGTAATTTCTATAATTTCTATCTCTCTTGTCCAAGTCAGGTGGCCTCACAGCTGGCTCTCAACTGTGGTCAATTTTTCCCATCTTTCTCTGCTTTTTTCGTCAGGCATCTTATGGTAGCATCTTGCTAAATAAGGAAGTTAGTGTGAGATATTCTGTAGTTTTTTTCTTGATTAAATGTCCCATCTTTAGTGTAGCTTTACCTACACTCAAGCCCAACTCTGGGAGAAGCAACAGCCAAACAGCACCTAAGACATCACTGCTGTTGACATACTAATGTTAATATTGTTGATTATTTACTAAAGTTTCATCAGACGGGTTGGGTTACCAGGGATTCCCATTAAGCGACAGAGAACAGTTTAATAAAATAGAACAGTTCAAAATTGGCTCAAGAACCTCCAAAGCATTATGCGAAGTGAAAGAAGCCAGCCACAAAATGTCACACATATGGTATGATTCCATTTACATGAAATATCCAGAATAGATAAATCCATAGAGACATAACACAGATTGATGGTTGCTAGGGACTGGGGGTAGGAGGGAATGGAGAGAGGCCATTTAACCAGTGAGGGGTTTTACTTTGCAGGATGGAAATGTTTTAGAACTAGGTTAGAGGTAGTGATTGTACAACATTGTGAATATATTAATGCCACTGACTTCACTCTGGAATGGTTAGTTTTTATGTTATGTGAATTTCAATATATTTTTTAAGTGGGCATGGTAAAAAAAAAAAAAAAGGAAGTGACTCAAAGAAAACCATGGAGATCTCAATAGGCTGAGATGGTGAGCAGGAAAAACCACGAAACTGCTAGGTTGCCCAATATGGCAATTCTCCCCTAATTTCCAGACGCAGCCACTCCAAGAATGATATCTTTCTTAAGACGCTTTTTTTATATCATCGTCCCACAGTTGTTGGAGGGAGGCTTCCTTCCAGCTGTCTTCTCTAACACAGTTGATGATGAAACTGCAGCCACCTGGAATATTGATGATCAGCTTCAGTTGTTCCTCCTGTGGTCACGTGGAACAGGGCAGTACCTGTGAGGAAAGAGAGTAGGACAATCCAAGGGCTAGAAGGAAGGCAAGGACAGGATGAGGACACAAAGTCCAGGGAAGAGGGAGCCTCAAGAAAGAAGGAATGGTCCAGTGTTAGGTGCTGAAGAGGACCAGTAGGATTGAGACTGACAGGGACCAGTGGATTCAGAAGCTAGAACGTTTTAGCAAAAACATTCTGTGGTGGGGCTGGCCCCATGGCCGAGTGGTGAAGTTCACATGCTCCACTTCGGCAGCCCAGGGTTTCGCTGGTTTGGATCCTGGGTGCGGACATGGTACTGCTCATCAAGCCACGCTGAGGCGGCACCCCACATGCCACAACTAGAAGGACCCACAACTAAAAAAAAAATATATATATATATATATATATACATAAAAAAATATGTATATAAATATTTATATATATATATACAACTATGTACCAGGCAGCTTTGGAGAGAAAAAGGAAAAAAAAATCTTAAAAAAAATACAAAATTATTACTGAGAAAAATTAAAGAAACCCTAGCTAAATGGAGGGATATAATATGCTAATGGTTCAGAAGACCCTATATTGTTAAGATGTCTATTCTCTCTCCACGTTGATCTATTCAATCCCATCCTAATCAAAATCCTTGAAGGCTTTTCTATAGATATTGACAATTGAATTTTAAAATTTAAATGGAAATGCAAAGGATCTAGAGAGGCAAAACAATTTTGAAACAGAACAAAGTTGGAGGACTAACACTACCTGATGTCAAGCTGTATTATAAGGCCACAATAATCAAGATAGTGTGGTATTGGTGTAAAGAAAGACAAATAAATCAATGGAATACAATAGAGATTCCAGAAATATACTCAGGCCTCTATGGCAAATTGATTTTCTACAGTTTCTGAGACAACTCAATGGAGGAGAAGGATAATCTTTCCAACAAATGGTGCTGGGACATCTGGATATTCACATATGAAATAACCATGACCCTTACTTCACCCCTTGTACAAAACAAAACTCAAAAACAACAACAAAATAAGCCTCAAACTGAAACATAGACCTAAATGTAAGAACCCAAACTATAAGACTTCTAGAAGAAAAAGGAGAAAATCTCAGTGACTTTGTGTTAGGCAAAGATTTCTTAAATGGGAGACAACATGAGCTCTAAAAGAAACAATACACTGGATTTCATCAAAATTAAAACCTTTTGCTCTCCAAAAGTCACTTTAGAAAACAAGGCAAGCTACAGAGTAGGAGAAAATATTTGCAAAACATTTTGATAAAGGACTTTCATCCAGAATATATAAAAACTCTTACAACTCAATTTTTAAAATGTGCGAAAGAATTGTGCTTCACTAAAGAAGATGTTAGGAACTAAAAATAAGCACATGGAAATATGTTTAACATCATCAGTCATCAAGAAAATGCAATTAAAATCAGAATGAATTATCACTAACTATACACCAAGGAACTGTGACTTTCATACACTGCTAGTAATAATACGAAATGGTATAGCTACTTAAGAAAACAGTTTGTCAGGGGCCGGCCGGCGGCGTAGTGGTTAAGTTCACACGTTCAGATTCGGTGGCCCAGGGTTCGCCAGTTCGGATCCTGGGTACAGACACGGCACTGCTTGGCAAGCTATGCTGTGGCAGGCTTCTCATGTATAAAGTAGAGAAAGACAGGCACAGATGTTAGCTCAGGGCCAGTCATCCTGAGCAAAAAGAGGAGGATTGGCAGCAGATGTTAGCTGAGGGTTAATCTTCCTCAAAAAAATAAATAAATAAAACGACCCATTGGCACTTTCTTTTAAAGTTAAACATGCACTTACCATATGATCCAGCAATTCCTCTCCTAGGTATTTACCCAAGAGAAATAAAAACATATGTACACGAACATTTATAGCAGCTTTATTCATAATAGCAGAAAACAACCTAAATCTCCATCAACTAATGAATGGATAAACAAATTGTGACACAGCCATTCAATTGACTATTCTTCAGCAATCAAAAGGAACAAAATACTGATAAATGCAATAACATGGATAAAACAGAAAACACTCAGTTTTTTCCTTCCTATATAGGGAAAAACCCAGCTCTTTCCTATTGAGCTTCCTTCCTGTGTGTCTCCTTTTACACAGAACACTTCTGACACTTCTGGTCACCAAATGTGTGGAGGTTTTTCCCTGACAACAAGCAATTCTGTGACGGCAGTTGGGTGTCCTATAATTTAACTCAATTCTAACACTATCTACCTGGAGATAGTGTCAGACCCCAGAGGTTAAGTGCTCAGTCCCACAAGACTGCCCCCCTGACTCCCACCCACTTCAGATGCCATGGCAAGCCCAGGTTATCACCTTTGCTTCTGTCTGACTGGCTATAGATTGGAGGTTCCAATGACCCCCTCCTTGGGCTCGATTAATGCACTGGAGCTGCTCACAGAACTCGGAGAAGCACTTACTTATGTTTACCGTTTATTAAAGGCTATGATAAAGGATAGAGATGAACAGCCAGATGAAGAGATCCATAGGGCCAGGTCTGGGGAGGTCCTGAGAGCAGGAGCTTCTGTTCCTGTGCAGTTGGGGTGCATCACCCTCCCCACGTGGATGTGCTCGCCAACCTGGAAGCTCTCTGAACCCCTTGCTATTGGGATTTTATGAAGGCTTCCTCACGTAGGCATGATCAATTATTAACTCTATTACAGCCCCTCTCCCCTCACTAGAGAAGTGGGGGAGGGGAGCTGAAAATTCCTAGCTTCTAACCATGGCTTGATCTTTCTGGGGACCAGCCCCCATCCAGAAGACATCTAGGGAGCCTACTCAGAGTCATCTCAATAGAACAAAAGATGCTCCTAGTGCTCTTGTCACTTACGAATTTACAAGAGTTTTAGGAGCTCTGTGCCTGGAACTGGGGTTAGAGACCAATATATATTTTCTATTATCTCACAATGGATGAGTCTCAAAAACATGGCTTTACATTTAAGAAGCCAGATACAAACCATACCTTATAGATCCTTTTACATTAAACTCTAGAAAAGGCAAAACAATCGTGATAGAAAGCAGAGCAGTGGTTCTTAGGGGCCAAGAAGTTGGGGGAGGAATTGAGTGCAAAGGCCCGAGGAAACTTTTTGGGGAGATGAAAATATTCTATATAGAAAGAAAATATTCTATATAGAAGACTCTTTCAACTTGTCAAACCTCACCAAATTGCATGTCTAAAAATTGGTGAATTATATTGTATGTAAATTATACCTAAATAAATAAAAGAAGCCAAAAGAGAGGAAGGAACGAAGGAAGGAAATTGTGCCCAACTGAGCTTTTGGACAAGATTCTCAATGTGTCGAGAAAGTATTCATTTATTCCTAAGATTTTTTTAAAATTAGGGATAGATGTTGAATTGTGCCAACTGTCTTTTACTATTATTTCTTTATGATTTGATTTTTCTTCATTGATCTATTGATTGGTTAAATTTTGATAATAGATTTCCTAGTATTGAGTTGTATTTGCACTCTTTGAATAACTGCACTTGGATTGTGTTATACCATTCTTTTAATATTCTGTTTATTTGTTTTTGCTAATATTTTATGTAAGATTTTGCATTCAATTTAATATGTGACCCTTTTCTGTATACTCTCATAGTATTTCTGTTGGGTTTTGAAATCTGTTTTTCTGGCTTCACAAAGAATTTGGAAACATTCCTTCTTTGTGCTCTGGAAAAGTTTAAGTTGTAAAATAATTATGTGTTCTGTCAAGGTTTAAAAGAATTCACCTGTGAAACTGTTTGGTCCTAAAGTATT